AAAAAAATACAAAAACTCTTTGTTAAACAGTTTATTCCATTTTACAAGTGCATGCAAGCAGTCTGTAATAGAGCTGTCAGCTACTGAGTCATGTGTGGAGATGCACAAGTTATGGAATAGGAAATTTAAAGGCTAGCACTGCCAGTGCATGAGACAGTGATAGAAACAGACCCTGTGCTGTATCAGTTGGTGTGAGGACTCTGTGTTTCACTCTTGCAAAGCTAGTAAAGAGAACCAACTAAGACGTAATTTGGCCGCGCCATAGCTCAAGCGGTTAGTCACTGGCTTCCCACTGTGGTGGCCTTGATCCTGGGTCTGGTCAAGTGGGATTTGTGGTGGACAAAGTGGTGCTGGGGTAGGTTTTCTCCGAGCACAGTTTCCCCTGCAAATCTTCATTCCATCAATTGCTCCACAATCACCCTCACCTATCATCTGGGGCTGGTACAAGAGGCCGGAAGTAGCCGCAGTACAAGGGACTTAGTCCCACCCCACTAGCAATAAAAAAAAAAAGAAGACATAATTTCTTAATTCTTTGACTGTGGAATTGATTCTAAGATGAAGTGAAAGAAAGAAAAACAAAGCAAATTGCGGACATTCTGCTCAAGCATTTCTTCCGTAATGTTAAGAATGTTGTTCATTTGATGCAGTATTTATATTTTGCATGCTGTTTTGTTGTTGAAAAAAGGTATAAGTGGCTTTCTACACATCAATTTGATAATGAAGCTAATAAAATCAAGCAATAATTAATAGAAAATCAGTATTGTTATTGTTTATATTCTTTACCACTACATGTTTCTTTTACGTGGATTATCATTAGGTGGTTGATAAACACTAGAGACTACCATGCACCTACAGCACACAAGTCTTTTTCAACGGTAACNCCCCGGTCAAAGTTTGACACTTCTCTGGCCATTATCTCCGTAACCGTTCAACTTTGGACATAGGTGTTTTGGGTTATATCGGCATACTTTAACATAAGGAACACCCTCCCGAAGTTTGGCACATTCCTCCTGGGACACCCTGTATATATATATTGTACAGCCTCAAGCCTTTATAGGTGTAAATAAAAGCAAGAAGAATGCAACAGGTAAAAAGGCAGTCACCCAACCACTTTATTCCCACCATTAAACAAGCAGTTCATATTACAAGCACATGAACACACCCATTTAATCGTACATAACCAAAGGCTGATCATTTACCCCAATTTATTTTTTGATATTTACTCTTGCCACATTATATAAACCAGTGTCATACCCGAAACCACAGCCAACCTCATTTTCAGTTTACATGATTTTAACACTTACTTCATTTTATGACATATCTTCATTGTGAAAAACGAATCCATTTTAATTTGTAATTTAACATTATGTAGTTCATGTATGAACCATCCAATGAGAGTCTATATGACTGAAACATGTGGTAAAGAATAGCAACAATAAAAATTAATATTTACCTTTTATTGATTTTTTATTTGATTTTGTTAAGGATTTTATTAATTTCAGTAGCAAATTGTTGTGCAGATGGCCATTGATTCAGTCATCATGTCCTACATGAGGTAAACTGTAAAGATTAGTGTACAGAAACAGAGTGAGAGACTAATTAATATTGGACATCTACTTTCAGTGGCCTGTGGAGAAACTTGCATGTTCAGAGAAAAGAAAAGCTGTGCAAAGGAAACGACACCATAAAAAGATGGTTGAAGCATACAACAGTTTTGAGAGCATTTTCCAGGTAATAAATAGCTAAAGCATTGATTTGAAATTTTGTAGATATAAAATGCTTAATTGTCTTCAATCCAAGATGAACTTCAATTTAAGATGGCTTCTTAAAGTGGGGTTGAGAATCATTCAGAACAGTACTCAGCAAGTTATTGTAATGGACAAAAACTGAACTAACGATGCATAGAACTGTGTTCACATCATGCCATTAGTTCCCATTGGAGTCAGTTCAGTGAGGTCCATATCTTTATAATCTGCCTCCCATCAGTGGTGGCAGAACTGTCTGGTTCAGGAGGAGACAATTCAGTCAGGAAAGACAGCAAAAGTTTGTACTTCAGTGAAAACCACTGCCCTTTTTGCAGACTCAGCCTGGAATATCTGCCTTTTCAGTAGACACTGACAGTGCCTTCATGTCTGCATGCTCACTTATGCTTTTGTTTTTATAAATTGCTTCAGTAATATTGAATTTAATTCCAAATACAATTGGCATTGGCCAAAGGGAATTTTTATAATAAAATAAATAATTTTATATTTCATATTGTTTGAACATTTCAATTTTGTGCGTGAATTATGGGGTTTTGGTGGGGGAGTCCTCCCACACCTAGGTCTCACATTCATATCTAAGTCTCCTGACTGGTCCCTTGACATTTCCTAAACAAAATTTTGTCTCTTTATTGTTTCCCCCCTCTCTTTCTCTGAACCTTGTTCATCCCATCATTCTTGATTTAATTGCCTCAATAATGAGCTCATCACTTATTTATTTTGTGTTACTGCCTCACTCTTCAGTCTCTTAATTTAAGTTCCTTTCAAAATCTTTGAAGTATCACAAGTTCTTTGTGTAGGTGCTGTACATTTTGATTTAATACTTCTTGTTTGGGGATATGCAGTAGTGTAGTTGGTTGAGAGGCTATGCTACAAGCCGGAAGGTCATGGGTTCAAGTCGCGATGAGGTCATTGGATTTTTTTAGCCGCACTATGGCCCTAGGGTCAACTCAGCCTCTAACAGAAAGGAATGCCAGGAATTAATTAACTAATTTACGTGGGGATTAATGCGCGGCCGGCGCATAAGGCTGACAACCTTACCGCCATCTTTGAGCTGATTGTCTAGATAATGTGGGACCCCCAACGTCTCACAACCCTATGGGCCTTCACAGCCTGGTACAGGGATCGCTTTACTTTTTTGTACTTTTACTTCTTGTTTATAATATCTCAAAGTTCAGGTCCATCTCCAGAGCATGAGTCCAGCTGTCAGACCCAACATGTAACCTTATAGTTGCACGTGTTATTTGGAAATTGAACAAGAAACTGCAATTAATGAATAATACAAAATACACACACAAATACTACTAAAACGTTTTTACTATTCCACTGATTTTATGATTCCAGAACATTCAACTGGAGCTCCAGAACTGTGCCTCTTGTAATGATGCGGTTGAGGAGGTGGTGTTGCTGATAGGGGCCACCTCACGGAGCCCACGGGAAGTGTATAGGATCGTAGTGCCACCCGTTTCTTGCATGGAGACAGACCAGAAACAAAGTGAAAGCAAGATTCTTCTAAACTTAGTTCGGTATGTAACAGTCTTCTTTAATTCCTCACAGTCAGGGTAGCTCAGTCAGTATAGTGATTGGGCTACACAATGGATGAAGGGTTTGATTACAAGTAATGATAGGCTTTTTTCTCTTCACCATATCCATATTACCTCTAGGGCCATCATAGCCTCCTATGCAATGAGGATGAAGGCCAGTTAAATTTTGAAGCAGTAAAGTGCAGCATCTGACCTAAATCTGCATAACACCAGGTTAAAGTGTTAACGATTTTGTTAAATTTGAGCATTACATTCTGAATACTGTACAGTATCATTCTTTTGGTTCATACACTTTTAATAACTAGTACTAGCAAACTGAACCTTGAGGCATCTTCAAATAATGGTATTTTAACCTGGAACTATGTTATTATCTTAGTAAATGGGTTTAAAACCGTGACAATTTCACATGCATGTTTTGTTACACCAAATCAGTCCATAAAAGTTCCTCTTAATTTTGTATGTGTTCCAAGATGGAATCTGGAATATTATAATCTTCTTTGCCATTATCATCATTTAATATAGCATCATGAAGAGTACGGTCATTATCTTTATTGTCACTATCACAGTGTAAATCTATTGCAGTTTATTCAGCATCGCTTTCCACTAACTTCAATTTGTTCCTGACAGAATAACTGATTATTTTCTGATTGTTGATGCTATAGCTTCAGTCAGGAATTAGTGTTTTGTGGCTACTAGGTCAGTTGTATTCATGACAGTTGAGACGTTCACATAAAAATTTTGTTCTTCTCTATGTAGAGCACGTTACTGTTCATAATAGTTCTTGAGTCTGACTCAGCTTCCAAAAATAGATAGGTGTTGTAATAGTTACAAACACCTTCATGAAAGCAGCCCACGCTTCACCATGTTTATGATGCAATGAACCCCTGCCCAGAATTGGAGTATTTTATTGGTCAATTTACAGAACCAGTTCCAGTTCCAAATTCTTGACAGGACCGATAAGGCCTAAGGCTATAAAGTAACACAACAGATGGTGACCAAGAGAACATATCTCAAAGTTACCCCCCCCCCAACAAGTTGATTGTTTAGCAGTGCTGTCAATATTGAGAATATATATTGTTGGATGACAAGATGGTTAATGAATATGGAGCAGTTGGTGGAATGAGATTTGTTAGGGGAAACTGAAGTACATAGAGAAAACCTGCCCCTGTGCCACTTTGTCCATCACAAACTCCATTTGATTGACCTGATCTGGTATAGAACCTGGGCCTCTGCAGCATGCATCTGGAGATAAACCACTTGATCTATGACACAGTCCTTCGCAAAGTTATATACTCTGATATACACGGTGTGTCCAGGATCCATTAGGACTCCTCTCTCTCTCTCTCTTTTGCCCTGCAATGCCATCTGTTGGCGAGTTGTGGCATTAAGATTCTTGAAGTTTCAGCTGTGGCTGTCTATAATTTCAAAGCGCAAGCATCGCTGCATCATGTGTTCTGGCATTGAATGTAACTACTGTTCTGACACTCATCAGAAAATGGTGGTTGAAGAGAGAGCTAATCAAATTTTGTTTGAAGTTAGGCAAAACAGCCGGAGAAGCGTACGAAATTATGAAAAGTGTGTACAGTAGTGATTGTTTGAGTTGCTTGAACATTTTTCGATGGTATGCTGTATTTCATGATGGCAGGGAGGACATTGAAGACACTTCGTGTGCATCAAAACCGAGAACAAATCGCATTGAAGAAGATGTGAAAAAAGTGACCAAAATCCTTGCTTTAGACAGATGTGTTTCTGCAAGACTCATCAAGGAGCTTTTGGGAATACAAAAAAGTACTGTGCATAAAATTTTGACCGTGTATTTAGGCAAACGGAAGGTTTGTGTGCGGTTTGTACCCCACACACTGTCAGGCGATGAAAAACATGCTAGAGTGGAACACTGCAAAAATATGTTACAGTTGACCCAAAATGATACAAAATTTACAAAATCGATTGTTACAGGTGACAAGATATGGTGTTTTCAATATGAGCCTCTCACAAAGCGACAGAGTGCAGCGTGGATGAACCCAAAGCAGTCGAAACCAAAGAAAGTGCGCATGCAAAAGAGTCAAGTAAAGACACTGCTAACCGTTTTCTTCGATTCCAAAGGAATCATTCACAAGGAATTTCTGCCAGAAGGTCAAACAGTGAATTCTGAGACTATTTTGAATAAAAAGAGTGAAATTTTGAAAATCATTCACGTCTTGTATTTATAATGAACACAGTCCTAAAAGAACGTGGACACACTGTGTACGTGCCACAAAAATTTAAAGGTATGACTAGCAAAACATGATTTTAAAACTCGTTTCTGCTTCAGAAATTTTTTAAAGACATTTGACTCTGAGAAGCTAAGTGGAAGTTACAGCAGATCTAGATATTCGATGGCTGTACGTGCTAAATGTCAGGCATGCTGTGTACATCAAATAGTATTGAAGGGTTGTCTTGAGAGTTCTTCCAGCTTTTGTAATGTGATGGTTATCAGTGTTCCCATTTAGGTCATCTGTGAGATTGTTCCAAAGAGCAGTTACTGTAACTGTCATTTTGTGTTTCACTGTTATGGCACCAGTGGCCAGAATTTAACTTGGGAGTAATGGTTTTGATACTGTAAACAGTGCAATGGAAGGCCTGCCAGACTAGTACGTATGCCGTCACTGTAGTGAGATGCATGGACAGTAAGGGTTAAAATAGTTCAGGTTACTCTTGTGCTCTTCTCAACTCACCATTCGTAATCATCTTCTCATTTGTTATTCAAATCTCTGAAACCTCTACATTTAACATGGTGTCATTAAATTAATTTAAAGAATTCAGCAAGCTTGAAAATTGTCCATGCTCAGGAGATATATAAGTTGAATTGAAGTCTGATTAGATTCCATGTAGTCTGTATGCCTTCATGGCATGGTACAGGAGCAACTGTACCGTCACCTTCTTGATTGGATTTATGTTACCGGATTTTAATCTGTCTGCTGAGTTGTCTTCTGCAATGCATGTTTCCATACTTTTAATTACCCTTCCCTCTCTATATTGGGATGGATGAAGGGTATGAATTTAGTGCCTTGGTTGTTTGTGAAATTTTATATCAGTTTTGCTCAAGAATAGGTTACTTCAAGCAGTAATGCTTCAAACTAATGTTTATGAGGTAACTAGTTCAAGTCTCAACTTGGACAGCTTTAATTCTGACTAGTTTTTTGGGTTTTTTACCTCGCTCCACACAAATGCTTGACTTTAATTTTGAATTTAGTTCCTTGTTAATATAGTGTGGAGGTATGCTAAATATTTTGTTAACTTCTTCACTTTCCTAGATGTCTCGTCCTGTCAGAAGATTTGGAGGGCATGTTGGACCAGTCTCTTATCCCAACCAATATGTATGTGATGCTAAAGAGGAAGGAAGGCAGGCAATCAGAATGGTTTGTACCAAAGGATTCCTACAGTCTTCCATTTTGTGGACGCCAAGCCATAATATTGCTTAGTGAGCAAGTAGAGCAGCAGGTTGACAGTGACACTTTTTGTAAGAAGACAACTGGATCCCAACCTGGTGATGTACCAGTAGATACTGAGACACAGCAGGAGCCTCTGTTGGAATTTGGCAATTTACACATTGTTACAAAGTCTACACAGTGGTTTCAATCTCGTGTCTGTTTGAAAGGTTTCAAACACTGTAAGAACAGTGGGTTGTAAGTTAGTAGTAGTTTAAGGACAGAACACATTTCTACTTAACATTCTTTTCCTATAAGGAGGAAAACCATAAATTTCCCTTTCATAACACGATGTGTTACAGAGTGATCGAAAATCATGCAACTCAAGACTGATGCACATTTATTTACGTCAATAAAATTAAAGTTATGATGCTATTGCAATTTTGATTGTACAGAAAATTATAATTATGATTAAAATGTTGAAAATAGCCATCTTTGGTAATGTATTTGATTATTTTTTTTCTGCATGTTTGATATGACACAGTGAAGAGTCACTTGAGATATTTGAGAAGCGCATGTCACGGTATTTTGTTTCAGTTCTTGTAATGTGTGAAAGTTATTTTTGCACAATATCTTAAAAATTCCTGAAGATACGAGTCATGTGACTAGATACATGGAAGAGACACATTTGAGGAATTATATAATAACTAAAGAATTCTTATAACATTTCCTGTGTCAAGTTTGTGGTATGAATAATTGTTCTTTCCCGCTGGGATCAGCAGTTTCCAGGAGAGAAATTAATTGCTTGCTCAGTTTTTGGTAACATTCATCATCTATACTTTTGGTGAAGAAAACTGTACCAATTGTATGCTGATGTGCAACTCCACATCATACTTGGCTTTGTGTCCATGCACAGTTAACCTGGCTGATTAAATTGTAATGCAATATTATGTAATGCTTGACAGTAAACTCATGTTTGTGGAAAATATGTCCTTGCACCTCAGCTGTCCTCATGCACCCGGTGCCAGCTACACATAAACAATTTACAATTTGCAAAGGATAATGCACACTAACTGATAACTAATAATATGAAGTGAAGTTTGGTATTAGATACTCATCTAGTTGAGACATTCACTTCCTTCTATGGAGACTGAAGGTTTGTTATTGTGTTACTGGTCTTTATTCTAAGCCAGAGGAATGCAGCCCATAGCCACACATCTTTTTTCTTTAATATCCATTTTAATGTTGTCCTTCCATCTGCTAAGGTTGTTCAATAAGTAAGTTTCCCTAGGTCTTACAAATGAAATGAGAAGTCATTGCAGTGTTAAATATAGTTCATTTCTTCCGCTGAATTGTCAGTAGTTTTCAAGCTGATCCCTGAGCACATTGATGCATTTGTCCCAGTTTGTCGTGAGTTTGAAAATTCTGTCAGGGCAGAAATCTGGCTTTTGCATTCACAACCATTCACCATTCCTTCTTCATTACTGTAGAATTGGTGACCTCCTGAGTGTAGTCTCAGGGGCAAGAACTAGGGCAAGGTCAGTACTATGGGGTGGATTTTCTAGAAGCTCCCAGCAAAACAACAGCAGCAGCTCTTGTGTTTGGTGTGTGCTGTGTGGGGTTGTATAGTCATTTTGAATGATCACACATTGTGATATGTCCGGATCTCTCCAAATAGCAACTCGCATTGATAGTTATACCCCAGGACATGAATTCAGCATGAATGATTCCTTTTGCATCCCAGGGTGCAAACACCATAACTTCTCAAGCAGACTGAAACACTTGTGCATTTTTTTGGCTCTTCAAGAAATTTGGGTTTACACTGCATTCCAACCTGTTTGGTTTTATGAGTGAAATGGTATGGTTGGTTGCCTGTTGGTATGGGTTCCAGCAACTCCTTTCCTTCTTTAAACCATTGAAGGTGTGAAAGAGCAATCTTGGAATGTTGATTTTTGTTCTCTCCCATCATACATCTTGGCACTTGGACAACTCCAAGATGGGCAAATCTTGAATTCTCTCTCTTCACTTCGCCCCCCCCCCAAAATCCCCAGCTTCTTTACATATGATGAGTTTACACACATCCTTGGTGTGCTAGACTGATCAGTGTCATCATTCGAGCTAGGATTTTTATGTAGTATCATCATGCAAAATATGTACATAATTATGTAACAGAAACCTCTGAAATATATAGTAAAATATGTAACATTTATAAAGTAATATTTAGTTTTGCAAGCAACCTTTATTTACTATCTTATATCACAATCATGATATGTTGATGCACAATACTCGTACACAATTAGAATCTTTTCCATATTTTGTGTGGGTCATTGTTTGTCTTTTATGTGATAGAATGTGTTTGTAGGCTGAAAAAGGTCTTTCTGCATCGCAAGATGTCACTGGGGAGTATTTGAACAAAGGAATTTTCTCAGGAGCAATGTCTTCAGGGGATCTACATTGTCTCCATTAAGTACCTGACAGACACTTGTAAATGTTTACAATCGAGGGTTTCTTTTTAATACCACCTGCAACTTGGTGGACACACTTTCACCAGCCTCCCTTTTCACAACACTAAGCTTTTTGCTTTCATTTTTCATTATGTCCCTCGATTCTTGCAGAGGATGTCCTCAGGTTCCTAAATGTTTTACACACTCTGGAAGCCAACTGAAATTTCTTGGGATGTAGGCATTTGAGCAGGCCACTTCTGGATCGCTGAATGCACTCTGGGATTCACACACTGAAACTGTAGACTCAGATGGTAACTTGGATACAATTGATTTCACAGTTTCAGAGTGTTCCCTATAGAAGTTGACTGGTTCTATCCAGGTTCCTCATCTTGTTGGCACTGGTTCGAGGGCAAGAATCTGTCTGACAAGCGCTGCACTCAATGTGGGGCTTTCAGAAGCACTTTTTTTTGTCGTTAAAATTCATTTTTTCACTTGGGGGAGCTTGGCTCTAACCTCCTGGGCAACATGTTGCAGTCTATGAGGCAGGCAAGTAAAATTAATCAAATAGGGTGAAACAGTTTCAACACAGTTGCAGCTCTCAACGTATATGCCACAGCATCTGAATACAAAATTAGCACCTTCTCCTCTTTAACTCCGATAGGCCACAGTATTTTAAGCTCGTCGTACATAAATCTTGCAACAGTGGAATGATTAGTATGGTGCAAAAATTTGGAGCAGATGTTGATTAGAAGGAACTTCAATGTCTAACTTGCCAGCCACAAGGTTAGCAATAAAGCCACCCATGGGATCTGTTGTTTCATCCACAGCAGCCCATATAAAGGCATCTTGTATGTTACCTCTTACGTTTTCCAAGGTTTCTTCATAGTAGATAGACGGATAATACAGTAAAACCTGCGTTAAACGGACCCTTGATTAAACGGAAATATTTTCAGGTCCCTTGACTTTGGGGCTGAAAAAGATGTTAAATAACCTGGATTAAACGGAAACTGTCTAACGCGGACAACGGAAATCAAAATAAGCCTTCATACGGAAAATTTCCAGTCTTCCCGGAATGCATCGTTTAGAATAATTTTAGGCATCCTATACATTCTACAGAATTTTGTTTTCCTTAACTCTTTAAAATAAGCTTCTAATGGTACTGCACTACCTGCACTGAGATTCAGCAGAATTGTTTTCCCCTTCTGGAAATTGTATTCAGTAAGGGCTCTAGGCCTACAGTTTTACTTTAGTCTAGCAGTTGTCATCATGGCTACAAAGACAAGAGTTGTGCTTCATCTTAACACAAGATTAAAGGTAATTCATGCGAGTGAGTGAGATAAATTGTCTGTTAAGCAGATCATGAAGATGTTTAATGTCGGTAAAACTCAAGTGTATGAGATTCTAAAGAAGAAAACGGAAATTTTGAAGCGATGGGAAACTTCGCTAATGGAAAAATAAAAAGAGAATTTAAGAAAACTGCAAACGAAGATGTTAATGAAATAGTGTGGGAGTGGTTTGTCAGTGTGAGGGCGAAAAATCACCGGTTGTTGGGTCCTATGGTACAGGAATGTGCTAAAAAAGTAGCTGAAAAACTGGGGAAGACTGAATTCGAAGTATCTAACGGATGGTTAGAGAGTTTTCGCAAAAGACATTGGATAGTTTTTAATGAACTTTGTGGTGAATCAAGTGATGTAAATAGTGACACCATTGAGGAATGGGAAGCTAAATTGACATCCATAATCGAGGGATATGAACCTGAAAACATAGCGAACGGTGATGAGACTGGACTATTCTTCCACGTGCTTCTGAATAAATTGCTGTCTGAAAGGTGAAAAATGTTTGGGAGGAAAACTGTGCAAAGAAAGATTGACTGTTCTTCTATGTGGTTTTATGTCAGGTGAAATGGAGAAAACCTTAGTGATTGACAAGGCAGCAAAGCCATGATGCTTCCGAAACATGGACATACAGAAACTTCTCGTTGAGTGGAGATCCAACAAAAAGGCATGGATGACATCACAGATCATGGAGGAATGGTTAACGGCCTTCAATGGTAGAATGAAAATGCAAAAATGGCATGTTTTGTTCTTCTTGGATAACGCAACATGTCACCCCCATATCGAACTTTCCAACGTGTGACTTGCTTGGTTCCCTCCAAACACCACTAGTGTTTCTCAACCAATGGATCAGGGCATCATTCGGAATGTTAAGGTCCACTGTCGTAAATTATTAATGCAATCTTTGCTTGTCAATATAGATTCTACATCATCCACCTCTGAACTTGCAAGAACTGTCTCGGTTCTAGATGCGGTTATTTGGATAAGTCAAGCAGTAAAGAAGTTGTTACCAGAAACTGTGACCAAGTGTTTCGAAAAAGCAGGATTTTCTACGGTAGAAGTTACTCCTAGTGTAGAAAATGAGAATGACCAGACAATATTACATGAATGAAGCTGCTTTTNAAAAACCTGCTTCCATTGAAGATATAAAGGGCGCTCATATTATAAGGTAAGGTTATAAAACCACCTTTTAAGATCATTTTAGTGAAAGTTTCATGTTCCTATCTCATAGAATTTAAGAACAATGATGAATAAATAATTTTCGAGCAAAATTTAAATGGCCGGCTGAATATATTACCGCAGGAGACGCAGCCGCGGAATTTAAATTACCGCGTCAAAGGGTTAAAGGTACTGCAGCAGTTTGCCGTGCAATGGAATGATTCAGACATGCTTACTCTAATTTCTCAAGCTAAAGTCTTTGTGGAAAGTCAGGCAGCCAAGAGAGTAAACTGCATGCAAAAAACTCTGCTGGAGTTCTGGTAAAATTATAAAAAGTGAGTACTGCACTTTTTTCCTGTTCAGTGTAATGTTTGCATGTGTTCAATGGTTATAGTGTGAATAAATTAATGAGCATGTTGTTTTGTTTTGTCTCAAATGCGTTTATGTCCTGGTTTAGTAATTATAGTATACCTTGATTAAACAGAAACCTGGCTTCAGCACAAATTTTTTCTGGTCCCTTGAGATACCATTTAAGACAGGTTTTACTGTATTTTTGAAGTGAAGACTGGTCTGGAATACGTTGCTTACAGAACTTTTCCAAAAAGGACCGAAATTCAGGCATTTGGCTTTTAAACCAGGTGATGTTTGCAGACATAATTCATTTGCATGTATCCTTGGGGAATTTGTTTCTTGAAGTCAAAGATTGCTGCAACTGTGTTAAGAGCACTTGCCTCTTTGAAAAACTCAATTGTTTGCTTATTCTTTAGATATAACACACTTCGTATGTGTTGCTCAAACTGTGATTTCATGGAACACACAGAACTTTTGTTGCAAGCCAGACGTATTACGATTTTACTGTCAGTTTTGAAGGAATCGTTTTTTTTCCCCACAGATTTAGCTTTGGCGCTAGAGAGGATGCAACTGGTGCCATAACAGTATCAGCTACACAGACTTGAACTTAATTCATTGAACTGCTCATACAAAACTAAAACCACTTTAAAAAATTTCAGGACAAGAATGCAGGTTGTTAGGAGTGGACGAGTATGTTTCATGAGAAGGGAGGGGATTTTAACTGGAATTAGAAGAACAGCATTCAAATTCTTAGAAAAATCCCCAACACGCATGTCACACTAATGAGCAGAATTTCCTGGGGGTAGTAGTTTACTTGCTTTTACAGAAGAGACATTTCCTTGTGGATTTTTCCATCATTGCAGAAAAAGGCTTTTGGAAGGGCACAGGAGGCAGTTAGTAAGCTATTTAACCAAATCACACACTAAAAATGCTGGAGCAAGTAAAGAAAAATATCACCAGATATGTAGTTTTATGTAACATCCCAAGAAATATGTAGGAAATGCTGTAGCAGTGCTATTGTTTGTAATTACATTACTTAGTAAGAAATAAAATATGTATTTATATAAAAATCCTAGCTCTTGTGATCCTCATTATGGATGTTCATTCTACCATTTTCAAACTCTGCCCCATTTTCTGATGTGCTGCACATTCATTACATCATCACTGCACACCGCTGTCAATTTTCACTGAATTTTGACAGGAGAAACGTGTTTTGCCCATGAAAACTGAATCACACCTGAAATTCTTTGCAGGACTGTTTCCAGTGCCGTTGCCATTTCACACGCACCTCAAAATTATCCCCTTAGCATCTGGCCGACTGACCGACAGACTGACTCTTGTGCCATTTATAGCATGTTGCCCTTACCGCAACCAAATGCTGGCACCTACCAAAAGCAGAATGCTTGACTTACTCAAAGGTTACAGGCTAAGGAGCCTTACTTGTTACGAATCACTGCAGTAGCAGGGCCTGTGGACCAGATGGGAAGGGGACACAAGAAAGGAACAAATTTTTGAAAATGTGTTTTTTTTTTATGTTTCACTCCCACCATGTGCTGGATTTGATGATATTTGGTCAGTTTCAGTGTAACATAGTACAATACGTACAGTTTTGTTTCTCTAGGCTTAGGGTCAGACCAGGAGAAAAGCATGATGCACTGCATGAAGTAAGCCAAGATTTATCCATTTTCATGAGATTGAATTAGCAGGCTTGTAATGTGAAGTATTTGAAGTATATCTGCGTCATTCATTTTGAACAACAAAATGTTATGACAAAAGGCACAGGACATGTCAGCAGCTGTGGGTATTGCAGAAATTGGTATACCTCAAGCAAACAACATTTTTCAAAGATTTGAGAATGGAACAATACAAAAAACTGAGTTTAGCATATTGGAAAAGTAAATTTGCCCTTGTGCCCAATTAATTAAGCAACACTCCATGAAAATGTATGAGGTAGTGGAGGTATGGTTTCACCATTTTTTACCTTGGCACTAGCTGGAGGTGAGTGGTCAGCTTTGTGCCCCAGCCATATTATCCTTGGGTGAAGAGCCTCTGGTGCCCATTGGCCCCAGAGCCGGTCTGGAAGCTGTGGAGAAGAGAAAAATGTCTTGACCCAGTCGGGAATCGAACCCGGCCGCCCAGCCCGTCGTTATGCCAACAGCTGCCCATATTAGAGAAGTATTATTTCTAAACTGTAACAATGAATTCTGAGTAGAACTAGTCGCCTACTTTCCTTGTACTACAATTTGTATAGTTAATGCGACAAGTAGACAGAATCTTTAGTATATATGCGTAATGAAGTAAAATCAATACAATTCAAGAGGCTGTAATGTTGGTATTACTAGTGGGATAGATTTATGAAAGACACTGTTGAGATGGCCTAAGGTGGCAAGATGTACCGAGTTTCAATACGATCCATTTAGATATTAAGGTTATTGCATCCTCCAACTAGTGCCGAGGTCAAGAATATATGGATCTGTACATCCAATCCCCCATACGTCTTCATGGCATAGTGCTTAATTAATTAAACACAGGGACAACTTGGTCTTTTCTTACTTCATGTCAACAGATTGAGAGGCGGCAGTGTTGGTATTACTGATGAAAGGGATTTATGAAATATACCACTGAAATGACATCATGTGGCATACACGTACCAAATACCATGACGATCGGTTTAGGCATTCAAGTAACATTAATGTTACTGCCGCATAATTTCAGAGGCTACGATTACTGGTGGTAGGGATTTATGGAGTGCGCTGTTAAGATGGCCTCAGGTGGAATTATATACATATTGAGTTTCGTGCAGGTTGTTACAGGTGTTCAAGTAATACTGGGGTCTTGCCTCAGCAACTTGAGAGGCTGCAGTGTTGGTAGTACTTATGGGAGGAATTTATGAAGTATGGCATTGAAATTGGCGCAGATGCCGTCATGTAGATATTAAGTTTCATAAAACTCGGTTTAGGTGTTCAGAATTTGGGGGAGAGGGCACATAAGCACTCATAACAAGGTGGTCTCCTAAGCCCACTTATTTTTTCCAAATAAGGAAAATAGGCTAATAATAAAGTAATTCCAAATAAAAGTAATACAGTGCATTAATATTTTGTAATATATAGTGACTTTACATCATTCAGGCAAACCCATTCTAACCCCCCTAAATGTGGGGTTCACTATATTTAATTGTAACCTTCCAATAACCTTAGCAAAGCATGTTTCTGGCCATGGCACCAGAATTACTTCAAACTAATCAGGTACAAACATACAGTTTGCAGTGTAAGACAATGCAACTAAGGAAGCGGTAAGCACAGGTCCCTCCAAATGAAACTCTTGCAGACTTCTAGGGTGAACATTCAGTGTTGTAATTGTTCCACTGTTTGTTGAAGCTCAGCAAACTTGGCCTGCAATGTCTTCTCTCGTTCAGTTGCCCTGCCAACGTCCTCTGTCAGCGAGTTAAGTCTTTGTGGAATGGCTGCCATTTCCTGGCGCTGAAGGAAATCAAATGTCGACAGTTCAAATTGTGCCTGCTCTATCTGCTCATACAAATCATGCAGTTGTTTTATAAGTCCCTGTGCCCGTGACTGGTAGCCTCCTGTTAGGATTTTCAGTTTCTTCTCAATCTTAGCAGCCCTCTTTGCCTCACGTGTCATATGGCCTCGGTTCTGCTCCAGGTGCTTTTGTTGTGACTCAAGACGATCTTTTTTACTGGCTAGGTTGGCACGTGTGTACAGATTTTGACTTGGCAGGAAGAGTACCTGTGCAAGACATTCCTCCCACACTTGAGTGTACAACTCCAAGGACAAGTCTCCATGCCCCATGCCTTGTTTTACTACTTCCATCTCTTTCTGTAATATTGCGTGTGCTTGGGCTAGTTGATCCTGGCTGTAGGTCTTGTAGGGATACTGCTCAAGGTATGCTAAATGCTGTTCTTGGCTTGTCACTTGACCACGCTTCTTGGTTTCAGCTGGTATGACGGGTGGTGAATAGACTGCATCATAATGTAGCATTGTGATCATTTCTCTTTTGATCAATTCCTCAGACTTCTGTAGTTCTGTGAGTGGGGGGTCTGTGTGAGGTGGACGCAGTACTGCCATGTTGACCTCCACTGGTCGAGGCAAGTACTGCTGAACTGGCTGGGAACGACTTCGCATCTCCAGTTCACATTTGGCCTTGAACTCAGCAAGGTTTCTGGTGTCCACATCTGCTTGGTCCTCCACATTGTTCGCAGATTCTACTGGAGCTTTTTCTTCCTCAGAATCTGGGATAACTATCTCATAATCATTCCTTGGGGCAGGCAAAGAGTTCAACCCAGATAGAAGCTGCTCTCTTAACTGGCGCTGATAATTATGCATGGCTTGGGGTGTATCCCCAACATCCAACCTCTCTTCTGGATTAATGCTTAGTTTGTCACGAATGGGTGTAGGTGCAACATCACCCCTACTGCCATCTAGGTTTGATGTACGGAAACCCCCACCAGCTGGAGCATGAAGTGCATCACTACGTTGGCTTCTGAATGGAGTTGCGAGCACTGTGTTTGGTGTGGTGACTATTTCCCATTGTGGAGTCATGCCTGAGAAGTTTGAGCTATGCAAGGGTGTATTGAATCCTCCTTTAAGAGGTGTGTCTACATGAGTCAGAGCCATCGTGTTCTGAGCCTCCTGCAAGATCCTATCAGTTGTGAGTGCCGGAGTATGAGGTGTTCGAGTGCCCCGTGCAGGGATCAGAGAATAATCAGCCAGCAGTGTATCTGAAGGCTGGTGTCCGCCCTCAGTAGCAACTTCTCGTGCTGCCTCACTCGCACGTCCCATTTTCACCACCTGTTGCAGCTCCTGGTCTGATATCTGAGGTTCCGGTAAAACCAACTTGCTGCGCTTCTTAGCTGGCTCTTGATTCTGCAGCATAGCCATAGGAATATCATTCTCCTTTCGCTGCTTCAATTTCTGCTTGTCCTTACGACGCTCACGCTCTTCCTTCTCTGTTCGCAGCTCTCCATCAAGTTGCTGCTGCCTAAGCCGGCTAAAATCATGAGCTGCCAGATCAAATATCTCATTGCTAGTATCATGAAATCCTGGTTGAGGGAGCTTTTCAAATGGGATTTCTGCATTATAGTCTAGCCCACGCTTCTTTTTCTTCCTAAGTGCTAACTCAATTCCAGCCTCTTGCAATTCTCTCCGTTTCTGTACAGCTGCCAATCTACGTGCTGCTTCTAATTGCTTCTCCCTAGCTTTACGCTTTGCTTTCTTTCCCTGAGTATTGGCAAGTCGTGCACGTGCTTCAGACAACATCTCCAACTCATCTTCATCCATGTCCTTGGGATCTGGACGTGCAGGTTTTGTCTCTGGATTGGGGTCAATTTCCCCAGGCTTCAACTTGCGTGGGTCATCTGCAGCGTCCTCTCTATCCTCCTCCTTCTGTGCCTGATCTAGCAGGCACTCGTAACGTTCCAAACACTGGGCTGCTGGGCTGTACCGTCCATCATAGTCATAATTCAGTTATGCTTCCTCAACATCTTTTTCCCATTTATTTCGGTATTGGTTGGGCAAATAATTTGTATTTGGTTTTCAGTATTCTGTATTTGTTACTTTGATGGTCCCTTATCAAATTCATTAGCCTCCAGTAACGGGTAAAGGAGAAGGCCGCGCCATAGCTCAAGCGGTTAGTCGCTGGCTTCCCACCGCGGCGGTCCGGGTTCGATCCCGGGGCTGGTCGAGTGGGATTTGTGGTGGACAAAGTGGCGCTGGGGCGGGTTTTCTCTGAGTACTTCGGTTTCCCATGCCGATCTTCATTCCACCAAATTCTCCATCATAATCACCAGGGGCAGGCTACAATAGGCCAATCAGTGGCCGCCGTGCCGAGTGGACCCAGTTGGACTCCACCCCCCCATTAAGCGAAACGGGTAAAGGAAGGCTTTGGATTCTGTCACAAAATACGGTTGTTTTCGACAGCTTCTACTGAATGCTGCAGTGGAACTAGCAATATTAGAAATAGGCCTAAATCCCTCAGCGTTTCGGTACTTTCCCCACAGCCTTCTTGTTTGTGTTATACCGTAGCTTCCATCACACCCCATTTGACAGGCATTATAAAGGTGTTTCAAAGCCGACATTAAAGTATCTTACTGTACGCAGCGGATTTCCGTTACTGTTGCGTCACAATTGCTTTGTAAGAGTATGTTTCAGTTCGAGAGAATTACATAATACCCCGACGTGATGGCAGACGTTAAAAGGAAAATGTACTAGCATATCACACTGAACATTACCAGCTTTGCTCCAATATAGCCTTCAGTTTAATTTCTGCAAAATTCTTAGTAAGTGTCATCGAGTCTTCTATAGAATAACATTCTTATAGCCTCAATTTTCATATGAAAAGAATAATACGTGTTTGCATGTCGCAATTTTTCTTGTGGTTGAATTAAAGTGTATAGATGCTTCGTCATTTTCCCATCAATGTACAACATTAGGGCTTCCTCGGGTGCATGACTGGTAGACCCCTGAATGTGTGGTCGGAATGGTTTCTTTATTCTTGTAGCTCTTTTTGGTAGAATAATATGTCATCAGTTGTTATTTCAGCAGTGCCCTGTTATTCCATCTGATCGCAGACTAGTATAGGTGGCAAAGAACAATTCTTCGCCTATTGTTGGCGTCAACAGTGACCCTAATATCCGTTTCTTCGATTTGAAACGAGTTCTTCAAAGAGTTTTTTATTTTCTCGTTTGAGTAAGACAGGAGAGATCACACAGCTCATTGTTTCTGGAAAAGTTACGCGAATTTGACTCTGTCTTGTGAAAAGATGAATACAGAGCTGATCAGATCTTTATCTAACGTGTTATATAAGGGCCGCGCCATAACTCAAGCGGTTAGTCGCTGGCTTCCCAACACGGCGGCCCGGGTTCGATCCTGGGTCTGGTCAAGTGGGATTTGTAGTGGACAAAATGGCGCTGGGGCAGGTTTTCTCCGAGTACTTCGGTTTCTCCTGGCAATCTTCATTCCACCAATTGCTCCACAATCACCCTCACCTATCATCTGGGGCTGGTACAATAAGCTAAAAGTGGCCGCAGTACAAGGGACTTAGTCCCATCCCACTAACAATAAAAAAAAACTGTGTTATGTGACATTTGCTGCACATTTTTATAATACCAAATCATTCAGAACAAGCGAAAACGCAATTCTATTCTTTTCTGTTTGACGTATTCCTTCCGTCAAACTTCAGACTTACTCTCCGAGAAAGTGAAGGAGTATAATAAAACAAATTATAATTCGGAAGGTTTGGGCATCTGAATTTAGTTGTGACAACTACAACTTCAATTGCAACATCTTGGAGTATTACTTAACCAACTCCATGGAGCCAGTCACTTACCTACTCAAGAAGTTCCCAACATTTCTTTGAACCTGGAAGTTTATTTCCGTGTTCACATGAGGCCTCCATTGGTCCATATCCCTAGCCAAATGAATCCAATCCATATCACTCCATACTGTTTCTCAGAGATCCTTTTTAATATTATTCGACCTATGTCTAGGTCTCCCTAGTGGTATCTTTCGTTCTTGCTTTCCCACCAAAATCCTATATGCATTCCGCTTCTCCCCGTGCGTGCTACATTCCCTGCCCATCTCATCCTCCTTGCCTTGGACGTTCTGATTATGTTGGGCCGGATACATAAATTACGAAGCTCCTCATTATTCAGTTCTTTCAGTCTCCAACCATTTCATTCCTCCTCGGTCCAGATGTTTTCCTCAGCACCCCGTTCATAACCCTTTAAAGACGGAAATTCTTCTGAATGCTACATACAAATCCAGTTCGTACCTCATAATACAAGAGCCAACCGGATAATATTGTTTAGTGAAACAGTCGCTTATTGTGAGAACCATACGAAACACACACTATTGGCACAATGCAGAGTTTTAGTATGTTAAAACGGGTAGTACACATTGTAACCACTGGGTTTTAGAAGGTTAAATACCTTCAGTCTGTGTTCTTGATAGCAGAGACCATGTTTCACATCCATACAAAACTCCAGGAAAAATTAGAATTTTATATGTTCTAATTTTTATGCTTTGAGACAGACGAGAAGAGAAGAGGTTCTGAACAGAAAAAAAATTAATTTCGCTTAGTGGGAGGGTGGAGTCCAACTGGGTCCATTCGGCACGGCGACCACTGATTGGCCTATTGTAGCCTGCCCCGGGTGATTATGATGATGGAGAATTTGGTGGAATGAAGATTGGCAGGGGAAACCGAAGTACTCAGAGAAAATCCGCCCTAGCGCCATTTTTTCCACCACAAATCCCACTTGATCAGACCCGGGATCGAACCCGGGCCGCCGCGGTGGAAAGCCAACGACTAACCGCTTGAGCTATGGCGCGGCCTTCTGAACAGAATGGTAGCAAGCATTTCCATCCTGTCGAGGCACGCGGTAACATAGTTGAGGCACTCTGCTGCAATGCGGAAGGTCGCGGGTTCAATTCCCGATGGGGTCATTGGATTTTTCAATTGATCAAATCCTTCCAGCCGCACTATGGCCCTGGGGTGGACTCAGCTTCTAATAGAAATGAGTACCAGGAATCTTCCATGGGGTGAAGGGCGGCCGTCGCGTAAGGCTGACTTCACCGCCACCTATGAGCAGATTGTCTAGAAAATGTGGAGGCCTCGACGTCTTACAACCCTATATGCCTCCACGGCCTGTTGCAGGGATAGCTTTTTTTATTCCACCCTGTCAAGATTTATCACTAAAGAAACGAGACAGGAGAAGACGCCAACGGTGCTAATCTGAGAAAAGTAAGTTGTGGATATGCCAAGCCATTGCAGACTTACTGTGCAGGAAGAAGACATTTTGAAGAGTTACATAATGAGATCCAGCGACAGTATATTTGGCCGTAATCTGAAAGAGGTCCGAACACTTGCATACTTGTGTGAACTAAAGAATGACATTTAAATTCCAACATAATGGGCTGCGAACGAAATGCCTGGCGCCCACTGGTTTTCGGACTTTCTCAAAAGGACACAAAGATCTTTTTCTGAGTCAGCCCGAACCTACGAGTTTGGCAAGAATGACAGGTTTTAATAAGGAAGATCTGAAACAATTTTACGACAAAGTTTCCGAAGTACTTTTAAGATATCCGTTTGATGCAAGTAAAATCTGGGACATGGATAGGGTACGGATAACAACGGTACTGAAACAAAAGGAAATTATAGCAGGATGGGGGGGGGGATAAAATGTAGGAACCATGAGAAGTGCAGAGTGGGGAGAAGTTATTACTGTTGCAATGGCAGTTATGCGCCCAGGGCACCTTCATGCCTCCAATGCTAATTTTCCAATAAAACATTTTCGTGATTACTTCATACGAGATGACCCATCAGGTTGTATTTAAGCTGCCACGGGATCTGGTTGGACGACTGAAGAGTACTTCATTCAGTTCATTAAACATTTCATTAGCCGCGCTAAACATACCGAAGACGATCCTGTGTTCCTCTTACTGGAGAACCATTCATCCCATCTGAGCTCTCAGGCACTTGATTTATGCAAAGCAAACGGCGTGATCCCCGTCTTTCCCACCACATGGGCCCCATCGCCTGGAGGCATTGGACATAAGCCTTACTGTCCCCTTAAAAAATATGTTCAACAGGGGTACAGATTCCTGACAAAATCCAACCTGGGAAGGCGCTTCCGAGTTGTGGTTGCCAGGAATAGCTAATCACAATTCCGAATGCTTTCATACGTTCTAACATAACACCAAGCGTTGTAAGTGTGAAATATTTTCATTTATTTCTGACAAATTCCCAATCCATGACTTCGTTGCCTCTTTTGTCACTAATCGTCCGAAACTCCCGCCCCTCGGCACCGGCTCCCAGGGGCTTACAGGACAAATCTAGTCCTCAAGAAGCCTGTAAGAGCCCTGATCTAATTAATGCCAGTTTCTCCCCTGAGGATGTGTGGCTATTTCCAAAATGTGGGCCCCAAAAGTCTCAGATCGAGGGACAGAGAGAAGGAAAGCAGCTATCTTGACAAACTCCTGAAAAACGAGTCACAGAAGAAGAGAAACTGTAGGAAGAAAGGAACAAGAAATCGACAGTGCAGAAAAGAATGGATTTGGAAACTAACAAGACACGAGGGAATAAGAGGAAACTTTGGGCTAAATGAAGCGTCGTCAAACAAAGATAACGATAACGACTACTGGTGATGGGTTTATGCAGTGTAAGGCTGGTGAAGACTGGGTGCGGTGTCAGAAATGTGAACTGTGGTCACGTTTTGCTTGCTCAGGACACAACATTCATTATGTGCGTACTGACTGTGGTGGTGATGACGCAGATTAAGTGTTGCATCTTACTCCGCTTTTTTCCCCAACTTTCTCCCACTGCGGGGGTAGTTTGCAACAATTACTTTGTGTTTCTGTAATGTCATTACTTTACATCGTAATCCGAAGGTTCCTTAATTTTGTATGTCCACAAATGTTGTGAGATTAAAGATGTCACGGA